TGGAATATATCATGTTGTTTACTTCAGTATCGCAATTATCCCGGATAGATATAATTTAAACGATTCCATCAATCTGATTAACCACAGACAGATATGCAGAGAGAGTTATGTTTAAGAGCAGCAAAATTGTAATAAGTTAATAAAACCCTCAATATATTTACTTATATCTAGCAATGTATAAATATACAAGTTCATGAATGCGAATTTATTCAATGTATGCAAAAATAACTATTACAATATCATAAAGAAATTCTAATTCTATAATCGAGTATTTATTTTTAACTCATTGTCAGTGAAAGGATCTTTCAAATTAAAAATAAATTATTACCTCTCAACAATGGCGACACTTTTTTAAACATTGGAGGAAGAAGAAAGCAAATATTTGTCCTTTCGGGATGTACGGTCGCTTTCATCGCCTACTTTTGTTAAGAAGTTGGCGAAAATATTTCGAGAGTGGCTACTTGACGTGAGACTAGCAAATTCACTTAAGTTGAATGTGGACAGACGACTAAGCGGTAATAGAAAAATCGAGGTCAAAAATGATCATTGCGGCGAATGAGGAAGACAAATTGTTACATAAGCGAATGATAGCGAGAGTTCTTGCTGCTGACTACACCGTTTTCTTGAAATCTGAGATAATTCGACGAGACAGTTCGAGCAACAGGGCAATTACGTTAATGGTAAAATGTGAATTGTGAACCGGTTTTCTCATTTGTTTTCACTTTCGTTAAGTTCTTATACGTTCTTAATAATCTAATTAGTTTTTACATACACTTGCAATAATTTGATATTGTTATATGAAGGCGAATTAAATTAATAATTAATTTAAGAAGAAATTCGGAAAATGCTCTAAGAAATATCTCTAGTTTTAATATAAACTTATTTAATAAATACAAATAAACACACACACAATATAAACAGTTTGTACTGTATTATGCATATATGTTATCACACAACATTTACGCATTAATTGGCGTTCCGCACTGTTACTCGTCCAAATTAAATATGCAAATATTAGTAGATTAATTACTCTCCTTTTCCAACCTTTCTGTTTTTCTGTTCTCTTTTCTCTCTATTTTGTCCTCTGCTTTCTTTGCAGTTAAAATGATTATAGTTGTCAAAGTGAACACACGCGTAAACAAACACGGATTGCTCATTCTGCGGAAATATTCACGTACACCAATTATAATGTTAAATTGTTTACAGAGGCGCGCGTATATATGTATATATATATATATGTTTCGTCCGTGCGCCACCGCGTTTAATTTGATAATTAATACCAAGCGGTCGCTTCATAATTCAGTTATAAATTCCGCGAATCATGTTTCTTGATTGCGGCAGCAATTTCGATTCGACGGCACGATCATAATCGGTATTTGTTGAATCGTGAGTGCAAATAAGACTGCGATAGATGGAATTAATCGAGGCCGGATAATCGAATTTATGGTACTATTAATAAACATTATGAGTCGCCGGCGATATCACGCCGATGTATCGCCGATATACGCATTCTAATGCGAATTCAGATTAATATTTTGACAAATGCGAAATTGTTATAATATTTATGAATTATAAAAGTACTGGTAGCGCGCCAACAGTTACGTTTCATGCTGTATAAGTATACTACGTGACATATATACCGGAAGAGACACGTTTTGGCACACTTTCTCTAACCGCGGATAATAAAGCTTCGTGCTGTAAGAAGAATGCTGTTGTGCTGACAGAATAGTAAGTCAACAATTAAATAATTTTCTTCAAGCAATTTAAACGCAAAACAATTTTAACCTAAGAACATTTGTGTAAGATTTATCTCTTTGCGAGAAATCTTGCGAATCTTTATGATTACACGATATATTGTTCTTTTACGTCAAAAGTGACACAAAAAAATTGATTTTCGTATTATTATCATAAATAAAATAAATAAAAAGTACTTTATTAATCACCTAAAGTAAACTAATTTAATATCACAATCAATCTAAATTATAATAGCTTGTGCCGTTCTTAAGGCTTTCATAAAGAGATCGTAAAATATGTATCTTCTATAAGAATAATATTAAGCTGTGCCGTTTTTTTAAAATAAAAAAAAGAGTTTTCTATAAAGAATATTTAGAGTTGAGATAGTTTTGGTAATCAAAATTTGAAGAAGAAATTATTTGATTTTAAATTTAGTCATTTTAACTCTCTCTCTGATCAAGATAAATACAGATTATTGGTGATATTTCGAGTTATTTCACATTTTTTTATAACTTTGTAGGATAATCAAAATAATCACAACTTAAAAAGATTGGAAACAGTTTTCTCTTTTTTTAAAAAATTCAATTTTTTAAGTTATTTTTTGAAGTAAGAGAACGATATTGTTATCTGAGATCGAAGATTTGCGAGTAAGAATTATGGCTTTTTATCAAATGTTGAGTGATATAAAACTTTTATCAACTAATTCTTAGTCAAAAGGAACTACACTTTTGGGAAAAATAATTTGAAACTTGTATACAATTTGTTTTCTTCTTCTCTCTCTCTCTACGGGAATAAACTTTGAAAGATTTAACCTCGCGCGAGCTTGCGCCGGGAAGATTTATATAAGTTGCTGTTACGTGATGCTGTAACAAATTTAGAACACGACTCACGTCCTACTAAACGGCAATATATGACGAATATCGCGGCGCCTGAGGTGAAAGTTCAACGAGAACGCCGCGAGGTATAATTAGTTCCGGTTTCTCCACCCTCGCGAAGCTGTCGGATGTCAACGTCAATGCGTGTCGAATCGGACCTCTAGGTCGACCTTTTCGAAAGTCCCCGGATAGATGACTAGCTCGCGAAAATGATATCACACAAAGATTATCCACGATATCAGCATGACGTATTAATTCTCAATATCAGGGAAGCACGATGTATATCGCTGTTTGATCATTAGAAGAGAGATGAAAGTGATTGAGAAAAGAAAGAGTGCGTTAGCACGGATTCGTATCTCCTATGTCTTGGATATTACATGAAGTGACAGCCTCTGGAGATTCGATTGCTTTGTACATTATTCCTTTTTAGATAACGGATCTCTTTGTGTGACTGAAGGTTTGAGTGTCAGTAATAGCGTAAATCGTACGAGATGAAAGGAGTCAAGGGGAGAATGTGTCAGAGCTAATTTATATTTGTCATGTCACCGGCGTGAAATGACGGCCCCTTCAGATCATCGGGAAAGGAACATTTTTTATTAACCCTCCCGATTACCATAGAGAGATCGCAAGATTTATCCGAGCGCGTATCATTGTAAAGAGATATTGAAAAATACAGTACAGACTGATCATGAAATCATCAAGATAAATTATAACGCTGTATGCACTTATAAATTGAGATTTATCTGATCCTGCTGCAACAGTTATTTTATCCGAGCTTGATCGTCGCAGGTTTATATAAGGATTAAATTTAATTAGATTGTTACCAGATGCCATGAATACGTGGATCTTTATTAACGCGCGAGTGGTTAAGTAAACAAGGCTCATCGAGACGTCCAGACTCTCGTTGCACCAAACGCAATCAAAGTTACCGACGGTTCCCATATGACGCACGTTACATAAGGCGCATGTCTTTGTCCACTCTACGTGATTGATTAATGATAGCGAGCAAGGTCTGCTGTAATAAAGACGCGCGCGGCAGCTGTGTTTACAGCGATGTAATATCTTACAGTAATAGTCGCGCGACTTTCTATCGTAAATCAAGCCGGCGTCTATTGTATCCATGATGCTCGAATGCAGGATTTACTTTAAATTCATCTTTAATCGCGCGATGGATCGTACATTCCGGAAGCAATCGATTTGATGGCAGATGCGAGCACGTTGAAGAGCATCTTCGATCAAGAATTAATCCAATCAAGAATTAATTTTGTTACGCGTATGTTAGGGAAATGAATTAATTCTTGATTTACAGAACGGAGATGAAGAGAGAGAGAGAGAGAGAGAGAGAGAGAGAGAGAGAGAGATGAATAAATATGCGCCACCACCAACCGCAAATTTGTCCCGCATCCTTCCTGTAACGCTCGCGAATCTGGAGCAGAATTTCGCGTACATTTTCGCGTGTTTTGCCGAGGGTATCGGGCTTATTAATAGCAACGTTTCTCCTAAGATGCAACGTTTATTCTTAATGCACCGTGATATAACTACAAGTCAGTTAGAAAATCGTGGTACATATGTCTCTTTGAATATATATTAATACAATATAATATAATATATTTAAAATACGCATGTGTATAATATCGTGTACAATAAATATTTACAACAATTTGAACCAGAGTAGTCCGTGTTGATTTCGAGGGCGAGGACGACAACGCCGGGCGGCGGCAACACTCATCGTCCGGCGTCACCGTAGGTTCATGTATCGTGGATCGTCTTCCATATTCTCGTGGCGGAATAATTACTCATGGAGGTCGTGAGATCACATGCTGGACGGCGGCGCCGATCGCTGTTTTACACCTGGTTCTCATCTTCCTTCGACGGATGAGCCGCGTTCCACTCGAGAGCCTTCAGTATTAGCGGCGGGATTTCCGGCGTGGTGGGTAGATGAGCACCCACCGGTTGGAAACCATTCTTGTCGGCCACGTACGTCAAGGAGATCGCCTGGCCGTCGTCGCTCGAGTAGCTAAAGCCGCCCTCTGCCTTCATCGCCTCGTTGTCGGTGCCAACTTCCTCCAGGTGACCTTCCTCATTGGCTTTGATACCGTTACCGGTTTCGTAACTCCACTTGTACGACCCATCCGGGTTAGGACCTTCCTGACTTTGGCTGACAATCGGTATCGGTTCGTCGGCAGGCGCTGCCGCGGTGCAGGCTGCCAATGCGATCAAGATTACCTGATAAAAAGTATTAAAAGTATAAATAATCAATGATATAGAAATAAAACTATGAAAGTCAGTTATTGATTCCAAAATTTTTACAATATAATTTGATTTGGCAATTAGGTTACGTTTGGGGAGAGCGCTATTTGTGTCAGTCTATTCTTCATTCATCGTTCATTAGATTATATGTAAAATAAGAATAGAATATAGCTATAATAGGACACGAATAGCTAGGATATAATAGCGGTTCCTCGAACACACCCTAAGAGAGACACCCTAAGCGCCGCGATACAGAAAAACTTACGCAGTGAGAAAATCAACATGGATTTGCTTACATTATTATGCTTATGGTGATTGGTCTACGTGGTGGATTAGTGACTGCCTCTATTGTGATTGGTCAATTCGCTTACGTTTTATTGATTAAGGATCGGTTGTTCCATCTTTGGATAAACTACGTAATTGATAATTTATTAACTGATAATTTATGTAATGGATAAACAAAAAAGTATAAGAATAAAAGAATAAAAAGGTAAGAAGATAACAGACTGAGTTAAAGTTCATCGGAAGGTAGAATAACCTATCCTAAGTTTCTTTTTTTTGTGCTATAATCCATAAAATATATTTCTCGTAAACGGAAGTTTCGAATTTGCGTGAGCTATCTTTAGAGTAAATTAAATGACGGAAATCGATTGTCTTATTCTACATTTATAGTTCCATAAAAGTGAGTTCCTTCCAATTACATTATTCAAAAGTTCAAACTTAGGGAAATTTATTATGGAATAAAAATAAAAAGCTCAGATAGATATTATTATTAGTGGAAAACATTCGATTGTTAAAGAATAAATGTGAAACTCATCAACAGGTCATAAATGTAAAAAAAATATAGGAGTAAAAATTGCCCATTGTATCGTTAATTGATAAAAATTTCTCGATGTAAAAATTAAATTATATAAGTTAAAAAGTATTAATTGAGCAGAAATAAATACGTGTTTAATGCGGGAAAAATAATTCATGGGTGATCGAGCTGCTCGCGAAGACACATTTATTGTAGGAATGAATTTTAGTTGGAGAGTCATGATTGGAGAGTTTTATGTTAAATTTTTAATACAGAGAAGTATGCATTTAATTGTAAATTCAAATATTAAAGTCTAATTAATGTAATGTAATTATCCTGCTGACAGTGTAATATGGTATTGCAGTACTCTTGAACAAAATTAATTGCTTTTGTAAAATTATGAAGACTGATGAGATTAGTATTTATTTAATAGTCATTATTAAATCGTTAAAAACGCTCACTATCAATTTATCACTCGGAAACGCTGCGGTGACAGATTTACTGTCACGACTATCTTAATTAATCTTTTTTTCCCCAAACCATGTTTCATTCGCGTGTTAACCTCCTATATTTAGCGTAATTTTCACATCTCCGTTTAGGACACACACGTTTTAACAGCTAAATACAAATGGTGAATACACGATTCTAATATTGATTGATTGAAATCGCTTAAATGTGACATTATGTTACGAAATTTCACAGTATCGGTTGTTGCAAAGTCGGGATTACTAATAAGATAGGTAAAAGATCTAATACAAACGCTGAGATGAAAGTAAAAGTAATATCCATCCTTGGAGATTAAAGATATAACAATTAATTGATAAGATTGACTTATCAAGTAAAATCTCGATTAAAGTGATGATTGTGAATGAGAACTCACCCGCGGCGAATAATTTAATACCGATGCGCTACGATAAAGTATCAAAGTTACGGTATTCGACAACAACGCCGGATCGCGGTGTAGAGAACTAAACAGCCTTAGTTAATCGCCACTGGTTATGTTTGCCGGTACGTAAACATCGTATGAACATTAGCCTTCTCGTTAGTTTCCCTGCTTGAGACTCACGTTGTTGCACAAGTGTTTATGCGTACGTGCTAATAAACTATCGCTACTTAGACATTTTCGAGGACGCGATATTTACGCAACGTGGTAAAAACGATATAATTAAGAATACTACTAATTATAAGAACAATATGTCTCTAATCTCCAATATAATCATATATTAATATATAGTATAACATATTAATATCAAAATATTTGTATTATCAAAATATTAAAGTTATTGAATTCTGCCTTTGTTTATTATACTACTGATTTAACTTTAACAACAACATTTTTGCTAGGTCGGTCATGTTGCGACAGAGAAAGCTTTGCTTTGAACCAATGGAAACGGACTCCGCAGTAGTGATACCGTTTTGAGTCAGACACGACGGGGATCGCGGTAGTATCAGCGTTATTAGGTCAGACGCTGCACTTTGAATAACCTTCACAATGTTGACGATTCGTGTTATTATTGTATAATAACAACTTTACAATTTTCTGAATAATTATTTGTGACACTACAAATAAGACATTATCTTGAATTACAACGTACAAAAAATTCTATAATAGATTATTATTGAGAACATCACTATTATTCTGAAATTATTCAGTAAAACTGAATTGAATTTAATATGTCGATTATGTAGAGATTGTTGCACTAAATAAATTATACTAATACGCTGCTTGTCGAAAACGGAAATGAACAGATATACACTACGATTTATGGAAATGTTGTTACGCTTAGCAACTCTTCGATTTTACGTGATTAATATTCATTCAGTTGAAACGCTGTTTACACTAGAATTATCGATGATAAAGGTATATCTATTTCTACTATTATTAATAACATATTTTTAAAAAAAGGACAAAAAAAAAAGGAAAATAAGCTCAATTTAATAATTTACATATTACAACAAAAGTCATGAAAAATTTCAGAAAATGTATAAATTGTTATAAATTTGGCAAAAATTGCAAATCAGTCATTTTTTACTTTGATAGAGTAAAATTATTTCTATAGCTAAAAATAGTGGAACTAATTCTAATTAAATAATAGAACTATAATAGTTTGATAGCAGAACTAATTAAAATACAAGTTCTATTATTAAAGTGATCAAAATGACTGATTTGTAATTGTTTAATTTTAATTTATAAAATTATTTCTGTTTTAACTAGAATTACTAAAATCGACACTACTAGGTAATTCTAGTGTTGGTTTTAGCATTTCCAGTTAAAATAGAAATAGTTTTACAAATTTTCATAAAAAAGTAGTTTTAGTAGTTCTAGCTAAAACAAAAATAGTTCTAGTGAAAGTAATTAAAGAATAAATATTGCTATCTCACACTTATTACATCTCTCGTAAGATAAAATTTATCCACGACTCAGTATTTTCTAAAATAAAACTATCTTAGTTCGCAGTTAAAACATGTTGTATTATCCGCTATATATGCATTCGTTACTAAAGATAACGTACATTGTTTTACACGAGAACGCGGCAGATTTTGGGTGTATCCCGACGGTGTCGATCGATATCCTTACACCAACTATCCTCCGGGATACGCTACTTACCCTCCGTTCCCGGCTCGCCCCACGTTTCTACCCACCGACATCCGAATCCCCGGAGTCCTCGGAGTTTCCGGACTCGCTCTATACCGGATATAATCGAGAAGTGTCACTTACAACAACGTAACTCACAGAATGTCCCGATACGCGCACAGGAATCCCACCGCAGAGACCGGAAATGCACGTCAGATTCACACGATCCGGCTACGATTACCCGCGAATTGTCTCTCACGGCGAATGGCGGAAGTTGCCCTCCGGCATTCTTGCTTCCCAATCCCCCTTTCTCCCCTCATCCCCTCAGCTTCTTTTTTTTTTTTCTCTTAATTAAACGCTTACCAATGACGTGTACATGCTGCGGCAGTAATCGCTGATGGGCAAGTGTTTATCAAGCCCCGCAGCGCTCGTCGTATATATACCCCTGGAGGCATCACCAACACCACCGACGGTCCAATGCACCGATAGCCACTACGTTACGATAGTACGTAGGATACACATGGGGGCATACATAGAGGGGCCGCACATAGGGGGACAGACAGGGGGGTTTACACGGATCCATGATTTAACACAGCATCGTTACGTGTGTGTATGCGTGTGTGCAAGTGTCGCTGCCGCCTCGCTGGTGAGCTGAGAAGCAACACACTCTACATAGCATCGAGGAGAGACCATCTTCCCTGAGATCACCATGTCACACTGCGCTAAATGTCATCGGGTCCCCCGTTGGAGGATGCTTACTCAATTGTCGCAATTTCTTTAACGATGAACACTGCGCGGGGGATCCGTTTTTCTTTTCCATCGATTAGTCGGCCGGAAACTCGGACTCGGTGAGTTTGCGGTCAGTTGTGGTATTCTCTCCGACAGACTCGTCGGCACGTTCAAGTATTACACGAATATATATTCCCTATCGTTTCGAATTTATGCGAATTTTTTATTGTTGTTTTAAGAAGACGATATACGTGTAACACTGTTATGTAACTTTTCTCGTTGCTTCTTTCGTGCCTGGGTTCCACCGCTATTTTCTCTTACGGCAAGGTAAGACTCTCTTATGGCCAGTTCAAGGAAAATTGCCGTTCGGTAATGTTTCTGGACACGAGGCAGAAATCTGGAAAGTTTGGTAAATAGAAATAACGTTTCTGTTAGTGGCGTCTACCGTATTTTCAATCATTCGTATGTATTTGAGTACCGTTACCGTCAGATTAAAAGATCAAGAGCGAGTGCTCGAGAGACTGTTTCGCCGTGTCGCTGTCGCGTAGATTTATGTTGTGGATTTTTGTAAAAAGCTGTACCCTCTTCATAAAACAACGCATGTATGTGACACATATGGGAACAGCTTAAACTCGTATCTTCTATCGGATTTATTAATCAGACGCCGCCCATTGCTTTGGCATTTTCCTAGCAGTAGTACGGACACGGTAAAATTCAATTCTTCTTCATTATTTTCCACTTTTTTTCCCAATCTTACCGCTTCATCGCTCACGCAAATGTTACGTAATATTAATCGTCAGTGCTAATCGCGCGTTTCTAATCAACAAATCACGCCATCATTAAACAATCAGTTGGTCAAACGGCTATTTACCTCGAGTTTTTTTTCTAATTGCAAAGTCTAAATTACTCACGATTTGGCGTAAAATCAAACCCAATATCCCATGCAGTCTCTAGCCTGTGAATCGACTGACAAACGCACGACACGCGCAGTCGAATTGTCCACTCTCTAATCAATCGGAAACGGCCTGACAATCTCTCATTATCGACCGATAATTATGTGAAGCGCCGCGCTATATCGCATTTACCTCGTCACGGCTGAACTTTCCGTATGCTGTGAGAATAACGAGCTCGCGTTAAGCGTTTAATCGAGGCGATTGTAATCGAAGGGGTTTCGTAAAAAAAAAAAAAATAAATAAATAAAGGAAAGGACGTGACGGCTTCGGTCCTTGGCGTAACGTAATTGTGAGAGAAACAACAGCACGCCAAACTTTCTCGTTCGAAATGGGTTACGCGCGATTCTGAGAACATTCCCTTGCACGCGCGATAGTGTACATTTACAAAGTAAAAAGGTATTTTTTATTTTAAACTCAGAGCCGCGTAGTAATATTGGGTCTTTTTTCTCTTACAACATTATTATGTAATATAAATATGCGCGACAGTACATGATAGTGTATTATGTAGCTGATACAAAGCGATGCATGTGCCGGAAGATGCGGAATTATGCATGCACCTAACATGCGTATCTAATTAATAATCAATGCCATTCCATTGGGATGTTTGAGAATTGTCAGTAAATATCGCCGATCAGATATGTTAATGTCTCCGCACGAGATAGAAGGGGGTTATATTTGTCTGGGAAATTCCGCGCTCGTTGGAAGTACGTAGTTGGAAATACGATTAATATGTCGCTTACCCAGATTCGTATGTCTCGCCATAATAGAGTTTTCATTATCGATAGTATAAAGATAACCCAGTAAAAAAGGTTTATATACTCCAGTATAAATATGTATATAATTATATATAAAATATGCTCATACATTTTTTTTTCTTATACAATTTCTATTCGTATATACAGGAAACATAATAAGAAAAATTGAAAAATAATTAGAAAGATAAACTTTGTATTGTTTTTTTTTTTTGTAAAAAAGAAAAGGTTTGTGAAAATGATAAAAAATTGCTCATATATAATTATGTATAATAAAATTATGTATGTAATTATATATAGAATATTGTATAATGTGATCGTTTTTATTTTTTGTATACAGAGTTATACAAGAAAGAAAATATATGAGCACATTTTATATTCAATTATATTTATTTATATTTAATTATAAACATTTTTATCGGAACAATATTGTGTAATTAATTAATTTATTATGTAATACAGTTAAATCAGACTGCACTCTTATGAATATGAAATAGTCCATTTTTACATTATTATTTTAATTATTTATGTTATTTCAAATTTTATATTGGATAACGTTTACTTTTTGTAAGCGTTTTGAAAAATTGTAACAGTGTCGGTTACAAATATCAAGGTGTTAATAAAAAGTCAAACGCCGCGCTGGATTATTATCATGACAGTTAAAGTGTTAAGATACAGAAAAACGATATATGTAAATACCTGTACATACAATGAAAATATTAATTATAAATTATAAAGATCTTCCGTCAAATCGAAACATGAAAATATCGAATCATGGAATTAATTGAGATTAATTACGTTAATTAGTAGTAATTTAGCGACGTCGCAGTTCCTCTCTTTCGCTCTTCTTTGTGAAAACTTTGGGGAAGGCCGTACATTTTCCTACGTGCGATTATTGATCGTGGACATTACCGGCGAGGTACATCGATGTAACATTAGACAGGATCTGACGGGGGAACAGTGAATTATGCCTCGATAGGCATTAGTTTTCTTCTTTTACGGGAAATGTAAGGGGCACGTAGCACGACAATAAATTCTCGTGTGTCTCTAGGAATGCCAGCTGCTCGCTGCTGCGCAGCGCCATGTACCTGCGTGATTCACAAAGTCACGTCATCGATATATCCGAACAATTTTCTCGCGAGATCGCATTTACATTTTGCACTCACGAGTCGCAATAGAATGTCAGAAAAGCCTAGGGGGTTGGTTAAAAATCATCTGTTAATCGGAATTAGGAAGAAAACGCGAAGGGAAGAGAACTAGGAAGGTGAACGTCTCTCTTGAAAGTCGAGGACGCTCGACATGATAAATGCTAAAATACGTTTCACAATTACTCATTGAATATTTTAGTGCACCGCGGATTATAACGAAACGTCAACTCCGTGCAAGTACAGTAATTTATAGCGCAATAATTTTGCGGTAAGATAATATTTATGTTATATTATATAAAAACAAGAGCTCTGTTTAATATCTATACATCATTTATTTTGTGGTCTGATTTATATTTTAAGAAAAATTTATAAAATAAAAATTGATTTTTATATTTATTTTTAAAAAACATTATAAGTTCTATACTTTTATTTACAATTAACGTTATATGTATAATAAAGTTCTTGAAAAGACGTTGTCATTAAAAATTAAATATTATAAAGTATGAAATACTTCGCGCAACGTGAGTATTTTTCTTAATTGATAAAAATCTAAATAGATAATAAATATTTAAAAAATCGTAAGAATCTTTTCACAAATTTTCTCTAAAAAACTTTGATTAAAAGACATGTCGACTTTTTCCATTTTTGTAGGTCACTATCGCGTGAATACGCGTTACTAAACTCGTGAAGAGACCTTCTGGAGAATATTTTGGACAAAGAACATTAATTCAATGAACATTAATTAATGCAAGAGAACGGGATGAACGATCACTATCTGATCAATAGCGGGACAATTGTCCGGTAAATATAGGGGAAAGTTTGTATGTTTGTTGGGGTTTTAATTAGCTATATTACGTAACGCGGCGCGTAGATATTCAAAAGATGTATGAATAAATATCAGCCGTGAAAGCTGCTAACATTATATGTTCTTATCTCTCAATTTACACTGTTAGATATCAAAACAGCAATGTAACCCAATCCTTTAAGTTAAATAACATTTTGTTTCTTTTTACCTCATATGTGTCAAAATGTAAATGAACACATTTTTATATTAAGTTTCAAAGTAAACAACATTTATGTTAATATATGCACTTAGTAGATAAATAACAAACTAAATTTTTGAACCAAATTTAGTACATTTTCTTGAGTTAAATTAACGACATGTTGAGTAAGAGCAATGGCGATTTATAGAAATAATAAAAAATTGTTTAAACTGGATATAATTTGGCATTATAAATTTCACAGTGTAAGATCACATTTCTAAAAAAGGTGCCTCTCAAGGAGATCAACCGTGATCATTACGTGCGATCGTTAATGCAATCGAAGTTCCTCTTCGTCGAACACACCGCGCTATACGCCGTGGACGTGGATCATTAATTTCCCACATTCACCAAGTAACATTTTCGCGGTTCTATCTGATCATTTGTTAACACGACGAGTCTCTCGAGGCGGATATCACCTGCGCTCTGGATGTCGCTTTGCAAAAATTAGAGAGATGTTTCACGAAGTCTTATTGCATTGTTCTTCTTGCCAGATTCAGGTCTATTATAAAAACAATGAACACATGTAGAAACCCGCAATCACGCGCGCGAAGTGTACTATACATCCGTACATTTATGATTTATTTAAGTCCAATTTCTTCATCCTCTAGATAATTATATCCAGGAGATTCTCCGCAACTTATATGAAAGTGAAGAAATTGGGTATTAGACGATAAATACTATCAGCTCTCTTACATTTAGCAAAATGTATTTGCAATTTAAATTTCCAGCTTTATTTTGCATTTTTATACGCATACCTTGTAAGATGTCTCGTTACTCATT